TGCAATGTATTTTCTCGGCATTCCCACCTTCACAGCCAAGCATCGCCATAATACCTCTCGGTCGACAGAATCGAATGCCACCTTTAGGTCAAGAAATATGACGATTGTTGGACGCCGGTAAGTACGCGTATGTTTGACAATCTGTCGAAGCTTAAAGACACAATCAATACACCCTCTTCCTGGTCTAAAGGCTGCCTAGTTCTCTCGTGTTTGTGCCTCCGAGAACCACTTAGTCTACGCATTATTATTGAGCCTAGAACTTTAGATACTATATTAGTCAAGCTAATCCCCCTGTGATTATCACAGGAAGACTTGTCTCCCTTCTTGTATATTGGGATAATCAGTGACTTACACCAACCCGACGGGACTTCCTCTGATTCCCAGACACAGATAGGAAACTGTCTCCACAGTACTCAAATACCTCTGGAGTCATTTCATCAGGTCCTGCTGTTTTACCTCGTTTCAGTCTAGTGACAGCCTTAGTAACCTCAGTTATGGAGAAAGACTTATGTCTATGTCTCATTCAGGGAGGTGTCCGATGTTCGGTAAGTTGAGCGTGGCTGTAGGCCAATTGAACTGCTCCTCAAAGTGTTCTTTCCAACGTTCTATTCGTCTATCTTGAGAGTTGATTATTGTGCCATTTTTCTCAGCGATTGTCAAACAATCACTTGTCGTTTGCCTTTTGCCACTCGTTTCCCTGATAAGTCTAAATAGTTGTCTGGTGTTACTAATCACCGATGCCTTTTCCATCTCTTTCGCTTTTGTCGGCCACCACTGTTCACGGTCGTTACGAAGACTTCTTGTTAGCTTGCGTTTGAGTAGCTTTCGTTCATCATAACCGGAGCTCGCTGGAATCAGTCTTCTTGCATCGATCAGTTCGGATGAGGCGGTAGAGATCCAATAGCTCTTACTAAATTTAGCCTTCAGGTCATTAACAGCTTTTAAAGCTGTGTCTACAGCTAACTGTATGTTGTGCTAGGCTGCCTCAGGGGAAGTCCTCCTTTCGACCTCAGATACACGTTTCGCTATTTCCTCCTTAAATAGGTCTTCAAAGTCTCGATCTAGTTGGGGACGTAACTGTTTCGCTGCCATCAATTTTTTTGTTTCGATTCAGACGTAAGCATAAGTATGCTTGGACAAGGACGCGATCAAAGTTTACGCACGTGTTCCAGAAGTAGCGGCAGTCTTCTACTGACACTCGCCAACTATACCCTATCGCTGTGTGGTCTGTCTGAGTGGAGCGTTGATTAGGTGATGGAGGGTGCCAGGTTACGTAGTGTCTCTCTTTGTGTCTAAAGTTAGTACTGAATAGGAACAGATGGTTATCGCAGCAGAACTGTAGAAGACGATCGCCGGTGTCGATTCGTCGGCAGGGAACTCCGGAGGTACCACCTATATACTTCTCAGTCGAGCATAACTTTACTACTTGGGCATTGAAGTCGCATGCTAAAATGAATATATCTGCTTTTCTCAACAAACTAGACAGTTTCTGGTAGAAATCATCCTTTACTTTATCCAAGCTGCAGTATGTTTGGGCGTAAGCGGAGACTACGAAAATACAACGATGGGTACCGCCGTCCTTTCTTCTTCTAGCGGACTTGGTCAGATGCACCGCACGCATACAACAACCCACTGGGATCCAGTCAGGAAGCGATTTTTCTGCCCTAACACTCAAAGCTATCCCTACACCCGCGAGTCTCGTGATACCCTTCAAGTGAATTTTTCAGATTCACCTTGTTGGCTGAGTGAGGTCAAGTGAATGACCACACTAGGGTCTTGTATGCATGTCACTCAGACACAACATACATCTATAACTCGAAATGCCAGAGCTCTGGGTAGTGATGCCTGTTGTCCGATTTAGCAGATGGTCCTGACGTTGTAAGCTCTTAAATGAAGTTGGCGATGTGGCTATAAGAGGCTTTCGGGGGTGTTTCTATGGCTCTCATCGTTGTTTGTAGCCACAGAGTGATGTGAAGATGACTCACTAGCCTGAAGAATAGTACTAACTGTAGTAGGGGAGTAAGATGATGAAGGTGATTTCGGTGAACGAAATGATGCTCAGGAAGGCCTAGTGTGCTTTTGGAAGTGTGTGAGCGGTCGTTACTTTCCGGCTGCCCACAGCATGGAAGTTGCCTGAATCTTCGTGTACCTGAAATAGGAACAGACTTGGTGTTGTGTGCCCGCAGAGCCCAGGGGACAACTGCTTGAGGTCGGTCACACACGGCCCGTATGAAATGGTTTATGGGATTGGTTCCGTAATAGTAAACTTACCACCAGTTACGGGCCACCATGGGGTAAGTTGGGATGCACAATTGTTGAGGTCAACCTTTTCTAACCTCCTCTCTCCAGAGTAGAGAGACAGCATAGCTGGCGTGCTGGTCACCTGAGGGAAACACCTTACTGCTGTTAGATCCCCGTTCCGCAGCAGTACGACTTCGCCCACAGACCCCCAGCATAGTGTAAAATAACTCTTACGGAATGTCGGTAACTGCTCTTAGTCTAATCGCTATCCCAGCAATATTCCTGGTATGGTAGGACCTGCAGGAACATTCGTTTCAGCCAGTGTAGCTTCTTGAGTCATTGGGATATGCAAGCCTGACCACCAAATCAAGGTAGCAGCCATCGGTCGGGACAAAGTGACCCACTCCACACCTTGTTTCCAGATCTTGAGAACGCCTTCGGTCGATGTCCGATGATATCCAACCCTGTTTGGTCCTCAAAATGGGATCAGAACCTACGCAGTGGATGGAAAATTTTGCTCAAACATTAGCTGACCACGCTACACATGGAAAAAAGCTACTATAAGAGTCTCACAAGAAGTGATTCTTGGCTCATTGTTATTTCCAGTTTTCGTTTGTGATATCCCAAATAAGAACAAATTAGTTCAGCGAAGAGTCTCTTTTCGGCGAATTCATTCACTTAGCTGTACAGTCGCAAATATATATACAATTATTTTGTGTGTGTGTGTACATTAGGTTTGTCAAAATCAAAATAACAGTTAGTGTGGGTTGTTGATTATATCATCAAGATAATGAAGAAGTTAAAATGTGTGATTAATACTCAAAGTTGTAACTAAGTGGGGTGAAGATTGGTAAGATGTGAGTAGAGTTACATCATCAAAATAATGAAGAAGTTAAAATGTGTGATTAATACTCAAAGTTGTAACTAAGTGGGGTGAAGATTGGTAAGATGTGCGTAGGGTTACGTAATATGGACATGTTTAGAAAGACTAGATGCTAGTGAAGGAATTTGGAGACAATTATGAAAATAAACTAGATAATAGGTGAAAAGATTGAATGGGTTAGTTACTAAAAATTGTTATACGAAAATTGCAACAAAAAAAATTTGATAACAAAATGTTGATGACAAATAAACTTGGAATTAAACCCACGGTAGTAGGAGAGGGTGGAGAAGTTTCTTCTGTGTGCATAACTCAGGCTTTTCCATCCAAATCGCTAACTAACCCATTCAATCTTTTCACCTATTATCTAGTTTATTTTCATAATTGTCTCCAAATTCCTTCACTAGCATCTAGTCTTTCTAAACATGTCCATATTACGTAACCCTACGCACATCTTACCAATCTTCACCCCACTTAGTTACAACTTTGAGTATTAATCACACATTTTAACTTCTTCATTATTTTGATGATGTAACTCTACTCACATCTTACCAATCTTCACCCCACTTAGTTACAACTTTGAGTATTAATCACACATTTTAACTTCTTCATTATCTTGATGATATAATCAACAACCCACACTAACTGTTATTTTGATTTTGACAAACCTAATGTACACACACACACAAAATAATTGTATATATATTTGCGACTGTACAGCTAAGTGAATGAATTCGCCGAAAAGAGACTCTTCGCTGAACTAATTTGTTCTTATTTCAATATCCCAAATAGTTTGGTTTCTTCAGCTCTTCTATACGAGTTTGATTTAAAGCTTTGCTAGACTATTAGAAATGTGGAAGAATCTATCAGGTTTCAAGAAAATTGAATCGATGAAAATGTTCTGGTTTTCAGTGTAGCCGAACGTCTGGTAATGTTTATCCATGCATTAGTAGAACATTGAGTCCCCACCAGGGTTTTACATGGAACTGACCTCTCCCATTCTAAAAATAAGGTGTTACCTCGGGCATTTGTTGACGCATACACTAGACACAATAACTGACTATGCAAGAGACAGCCAGAACCACCATAGCAGCTTCTTGTGCAAGCAGCTAGATGTATATACACCTGGACTTTCACTTCACCCTTGCAACGAGTACGTAAACCATATTTAGAATTCCATAAAGTCACTGAACCACCACTCCTAAGAGTAAAAGAATGCCTGCCCAAGTTGTATTCAGACTGAAAAGCTGACCACAGGACGACAGACTCCGAAGGTTAGATTTGTATGCTATCGGCTGTCAAATATTCAGAGCCTGCATCGTCACCAAATACAAAATCCTCCATAACCTATAGCAACAGATAGAGACATATTACTGGACAGGTGCTTGTTTCTCTCCCTTCTCTTGCCCCACATCCTATTTGTTTTGTCTGCCTATTCTCTGGATTCCCTTTACATTTGCCAGCTGTCTTCAGTTATAATTTTGTCGGCTCAAATGATGGATTACCCGATAAAACAAAATCCGCCACTCCCCATCTGTAAACAATGCATTTTTCACAAGTAAACGAGTGTACTCTCGGCTATTATATACGGCACTTATGTAGCAGCCGAGAGGATACATCACACTAGAATCTGACAAAGATCTATCACTATTACAAAATAAAAAAAGTCAGTGCCAAGAAATCATAAGGTGTACATAAGCTCGTCAAAATGGTTATTTCCTCTCGCCGAATTTACAGTGAGTCCAATTAGGAACTTGATATGGTCGTTTTTGCACCTTCTGATATTTCATTCAAAGCGGTATTGATTGTGAAGGTTCAGTTACAGAACAACTGCCAAAACTAACTACCTCGATGGGACCACTCAAGTTACTAGTCATAAATGCCATATAACTTTTGTTTTCAGTGTTTTACACGTTTGTGGTTTTTCGGGTTAGTTTTAATAGTCAGATCAGAGTAAGTGTTGAACTAGCGTTAGAGCTACAGTTAGACTGCCAGTGTGAAGTTAAAGCAGCTGTAGATAAACTTCATGTACCCTGATTGATAGGCTTCTGCCCCAGGACTTGTGCGGCCTCAACTTTAATGCCATGCTGTCGACATTGAGAAAACATTTCGATTACCATACATCTCTATTAAATCCTAGATGGCTTGGAATTACACTAATAACCAACGAGAAGTATGCTTAGCTGATGCCGATCATTACCGACATTCGTGAATTTCAGTGGTTGAAAATGAAATCTTTGACGGATGACCAACGTTCTCAGATACTTGCGGTTATCCACGCTCTACCGCTCGAATTAAGCAAATGCGTTAGTGTGCAGATATCTAGCCGAGGAGTAAGCAACCCCTATGAGGTGCTTAAAGCATCCCTCCTTTAGTGAAACAAACTCACGGATCAGAAGCGTTTTGACGAACTACTTCGCGATGTCGAGTTAGGTGGTCAGTTGGCTGTGAACATTCTAACACGAATGAGGGAAGTTGTCAGCCTACGTAAGTTCGATGAAGGACTCTCAAGAGAGCTGTTTTTATCTAAACTGACACGGTTAGTACAGACTGTACTTGTGACACTGTAAGGTGTTATTATAGACGACTAAGCTACCTCTGCTAATAAAATTCTAGAAATAACACAACGGTCAACCACGGAAATGTCGTCCATCACTAAGCAATCTTTGTTTAGGGCCACTGAAGCGACAGTTATTCAACTCCTTTAGACGTAAACTTAAGTCAAACAGTCCTCGTAATTTTTCCTACCATCAACCCAATTCCTCTCAACGGCGAAACCCACGTGGTCGATCAGCATCTAAACCACTTCCCATAAAATCCCTGACTGGTGTTGCAATCACAGTACCTGTGGCCAAAGAGCGAAATGTTGCCAAAAACTCTGCTATTTTGGCGATGACTCGAAGACTATTGGAAACTATCCCGCAGGCACGAGTAAGCGGCAACCGTGTACTATACATCCACGACATAGTCAACAAAACCCGGTACTTGGTTTACACAGGCGCTGAAGTCGATGTCCTTCCTGCTACAGGGGCAGATCAACAGAAGGAACCTACCTGCAATTTACAGGGTGCGAATGGAAAACCTGAAGCAACCTTTAGTAGTAATTACATCTATCTGGGCGAAGGTTTACGCAAACTTATTCAGTGGATTTTCTCTCTCGCTGACATAATAATAATATTTTATTTCTGGAACAGAAACCAGCCATTTTTACAGGCATGAACATATGTACACTAAATAGAACTTATAGAATATATATGATCTGTTAATCTAGAAATAGATTGAATACTGGTAAATTTGAGAGAAATATTTAAAAAGAAATGTACAAATAAGGCAATAGGCAATTTTCGAGATATGCTTTCAACTGAATAATTCATGAGATATAGCATCAAATCAAAACTGTAATTGAAAAAAAATACGGTATGTCAATTTCACGCGGGAATTATAAACGATTACGTTAATTGTGGAAAGTAAGTAGCATTTTTGTACAGGTGCTGACGTGAAATATAAGGGATGCGGAATGAACAGTAATTGTAAGTAAATGATTCATAGAGTGTTTGAAAGTCCATAAAACTTCAAATTCACCGGTAAGTACACCATAATTGTGACATTTCCAGTTGTATATGAGACCAACTTTGAACTTGTCAGCAGATTTCATGATAGAGGTGGTTCCGTTATTCACCAGGTGGGCTGGCAATATTCCGAATTAGTAGAGGATAGCGGCACTGTTTCAGTGCCTTCGTTTAAGGCAGTACCTTTGAAAAGAGAAGAGGACACAAGAAAACCGCCAGAGAGGTGCAGAAGTATATAGTAGGTGTTAATAATTCAAAACATATATAACAAACATGGGGTTCATCATTTTTTTTTGTTTTTTTTCGTTAAAAAAATACTATTTCCCCCCGAGATTTTCTAGTGATGGAATTCTAGTCTTTCTTGCGAAAAGAAAAAAAGTTTAAGTGGAAAAAGATGATAATTTTACCTCCTTTTGGCACGAACCGACTTAACCGTCATGATCTACTCCTACATTTCCTCCGGAAACGACTGATAGACAGCACTTCTAGACTGTCTATTGAAGGTATCACCTATGTAGGTCACAGCTTGTCACTCGTTAAGAAAAGTGCGATCTTTGATCCAACTTTTCATCTGACTGTTGAGAAGTACGCGGAACTAAACTGCTCATCCGAAGATCTACCGTGCATAGCCAGCAATGTTAGGCGCCACATCATAACCTCAGGTCAACCCATGACATGCAAAGCACGACGACCTGCTCCCCATCCCAAATTGTGCGGAAAAAAAGAAAGCGACGATTGGTGACCCATTGGTGATTACCGGTGAATAGACGCCAAAACCACCCCTGATTGTTATTTCCTGCCTAACATACACTACTTATCGCCAACCCCAGCTGGTGAAATTATTTGCTCGAAAATAGACTGGCTTACAGAACACAATCGAATCCCGAAGGCACCAGATGGCATTCCAAAAATGGCTATCATTACGCCTTTTGGACTGTTTGAATTTCCACGCATGTCATTAGGCTTCCGGAATGCGGTACAAACATTCGTACGATTTAGTTCTTCAGGTACATTGATTCATTTCATTGTCTCCGGCAACACAGTTTAAAAGTTGTTTTTTATTTTTTTCCATATTATTTTTCTCTATGGTGGAAGTATACCACTCTTGTTTTCTTACCCTGGTGCCACACGCACTGGTGGCGGAGCAAACGAAGTACGAAATCCAACGGACGAACGTTAACAATGGGGTGTGTATGCCCCTAGTCAGCGTAGTTAGAGAACCCGTAGGTAATCCATCAAGCCGGCTGGAAGAGTCTTACTAATGGTGCCACCAGTGGGTTTTTAATTCCGTCTGATTTCCTCTTATGGTCCTCACAACCCCACCAGAGGAGAACGGGCTACAGTGGTAGGTAATTCCCCAAAAATCATTTGCCACAGCATTCAGCACTGAACTTCGGATGCTGACCCTCACTGTTTAAGTCTGCTTGTTTAGCTGAAGGCTCACGGCGAAGCATCCACGCCATTCGGCAAGCCTTTGTGTAACGCTCGTTCGTGCACGATCTCTGGCTACTTAAGCAGTAAACCTTGCACTACGATTTAGTCCCACAATACACGTCGTATTTTGGGTGATCAATTCGTTGTTTCACTTTACCTTAGGTCTAATCGGAACGAATACTATAGAAGTTGTGAGTAAAAGTCCTTGTGTTGGCATAAATCATGCTATCTGTGAACGTAAACACCATCAGCCATTAATACGTTTTGAACAAAATTCAGTGCTCATAATATCGTCTTCGGGGCCGGTAGTTAAACTTTCATGAGTCGGCCGAATACTAGATTGTTACGCTTAAACCTGTGCTCGCAAAATTTCGGTTGGGGCAAAAACTATAGCATATCCAAATTGCCCCCACATTTGTTTGTTATGGCAGCTGGCCATTCGCAATTCACAGTCCAACTACTCATGAAATCGCATGCGAATATTTCAATAGACAGATTCTTGAAAAGTACTGCCACAGGCAGCGGGAAAAACCATCGATGCGTTTCAAGATGTGAAGATATCCAGTGAATTTTGAATGGCATCCAATGAGATCTACATGGATGAGCCCGAAATGTGCACCTGAAGATCAGTATGTGTCGATAGGGCTTCTTGTGCGGCTTATTATTCTTCACTTTTAGCAATCCATGTGTGTTCGAGGGCAATGTCTTCAATGATTAATAATTTTAGGCTGGAAATCCACACTAGTGAGGAACTTCACGGTATTTTGGATGTCTGGGCGAGATAATCTGCGTCAAGCTAGTAACTTTCAGATGCAGTAGGACGTGGCTGTTTGACGAAATTCTTCTCTTAACGACGCGTTTCAAGTATCGTCGTGGGTCTTCCTATCTGACAGGAATAATCCTCTTCTGTGAATTATCCTCTTGGGAAAACTGTTTATTCTACATGGTGGGCTCCACGTCGAATTTCTGTGTGGCAACTTTAGCTGCCTCGAACTACTGCCACACTTCCATATGCCACTTACCTACTCGATAGTGAAAACAAGACATGTGAGTCTGTCATGTGATTGTTGCGAAGCCTAATGATCTGATATTTCTAGATAAAGTAAGAAAGGTTTTCCATATTTTCTGTAAGTTATTTTGCTCTTCATCCATCGAGCAAGGAATATGTTGTGATTTCCATTATTATTTGATCACATTCGACAAGGGGTGTTAGTGTGATTAAATTCTTCTCCTTCAAAGTACTTCGCTGAATCGGATTCTATCGTGAATAGGGACTCATTTAAAGGAGGTAACCAGGTATAAGGATCAAAGCCATTGTTAATCGCGACAGATAGATAGACTATATGATAGACAGTTAATCAATATGATGTGACCTTCTTGTCGCGATTATTGGTCAATTTATTGTAACTCTCACCGCGTGATGACCTTGAATGTTCTTTTTTGTCTGTCACTCTATTTGTGTATACATGTAATTAATTGACTGTTCATTTTGTCCGTACCCTCAATACTGTTCGGTACGTTTTTGTCCTTTTTTGTAATGACAGTGGATTTGTACATTTTTCTTGGTGTAATTGTATGATTTATTTTATGTTTTAGAAACAGATAAAGTTAAAGTCAAGTTATTCTGTTTTAACTATAGTTAAGCCCAGACTGTGTCGTCAGTATTGAGGAAGGACTAAATCTGTGGGACAAAAATAATCCTACAGCCATCTCGCGTACATGTTCCGATAACTCGAGTGCACACCCCATAGTGTGTTTCTGTGTCTGTATTCTCACATCTGGCTAGCGAAACTACACAGGTCGAACCGAAAGGTCACGACACACACACCTATCGCTATAGGAAGCAGATGCACTGCGTTAAAAAGGGTTAAAATGAAAAGTTAAAGACTTCACAAATTCAAGGCCTTGCAGTGTTTTGGTGAAGATAACGACTAGCAAATCTGCAGCTCT